ATAAGTGAATCCGGGACATTGAATTTTGAACTTTGAACTATTGTCTGTTACTGTGTCGGATATCACGTGTTCGATTCTACGATGAATGTGGAATTAGGCGAGTTTAAGTTAGTTAAATGTACAATGAAGCTAATAGACTGAAATAGTGATAAGGAAGAAAGAAATGGTCCAGCGGTGGAGCCTGCTGGAGCGATGCAGCGTTTTGGGGCAGCCTGGAACTCGGCCGCTGCTGTTCGCCAAAGGAGGTCAAGGTCTCACACATTTACACATCACTAAACACTACTTGCCATGCACCTCACACCCACTTACGGCCTGACCGAGCCTTGGGGCGATCTAAGAGTCGCAAACAGGTACGTAATATGTTTTTCTAGCATTCTCCCATATAGCTTAGTGTTATAGGAAATTCTTCCATGTGGTCAATTTTCTGCTCATGGGCCCCAGAAGATTCGACCCTTGCTGGAGCAGCTGTGGGCCGTAACAACATGCAATAAGTCAATGGATGTAGGTGGTTCAGGAGTCAGGACCGTGCTTTGTGGCATTCCTTGGAGGAGGCCTATGTTCAGCAGTGGACGTGTGAAGGGCTGTAATGATGATGATGATGATGATATACCTACATTCGATATATCGAATCGACCCGATATAATCGAATTATCTGATAACGATGAAGATATCGATATATTTCATCCGATATATCCATATCGGATGAATTATAAATAGATCGAATATAAAAGTATAAGTACAATCTTTTCGAATTTACTCTGAACATAATTTCTCTATACCTAGATAATTTTTTATAGTATGGTGTGACAAACGAGCACACAGTTCACCTGATGGTAAGTGGTTGCTGTGACCCATAGACATCATCTACATTTATCCTCAATAAAGAATCAAAATGCAGATGCGTTGTCACCCGTGGGGACTAAGATAGAATGCCTCTTTTCCAGTAAATAGGGTCTCCGGTTCTCTACACTCACCATACGAAACACAGCAGTGTTAAGCTGCTATTTTACGCTGGTATTCTGTGACAGTGCGGCCCATCCCCGGTCGAGCCGACCCATTCATGCTACAACTATATTACTAACATAGCTGCAGCATGGCTCTACCTCGTAAAATAATTTAAAATTAAAAATTTTGTACAGCCGACTTCAATATAAGTTATTTAAGAATAACTTAAAAACTACTGGTCTGACCTTGATCAAATTCATATGGGACCACACGAGAAGTACCAGCTTTCAAATAAAAAAAGAATCATCGAAATGGGTTCACCCAGAAAAAAGTTCTGAGGTAACACACATAAAAAAAAAAACGAAAAAAAAAAACATACAGTCGAATTGAGTACCGGCTCCTTTTTGGAAGTCGGCAGAAAAATTTGGGAAGTTTAGTAAGGAAGTTTCTTGTATATATTCCTGTTGGTTTTGTTTACTTAGTAAAGAAAAGTGATAACAAATCTGTGTAGCAGCAGAGAAGCAGACTGCAAGCCAAAAGAGTAAATAAGAAATATTGGGACTTATAAAGATAAAGTCGATTCGTTTCTTAACCCTGGCATTTTTTACTTATTTACTCATATTAAATTGTTCCCTTTTGTTTTTTTTACATTGAAATAAAAATTGCAAGCGATATATCGAAAATATCGATACAACATTGTGATATATTATATCGAAAAAATATCGATAATTTTTGTACATGAACATCCCTGCATCATACATCGAGAATTCCTTTTTTTCAGTTCGGCTAAAAGTGAACCGGCACAGAGACAAAATTAAAAACATGGTTCCACAGTCTAACCACTACTAACTAGTACTAAGCCCAATCTATACTTAAATGTATAAAATACTTTGTCCTGAATGACTGACTGACTGACAACGCACAGCCTAAACCGCTGATCGTAGAGACCTGAAACTTGGAGGGTATGTTCTTTGTATAGCGTAGGCTTTCGATAAGAAAGAATTTTACGTAATTTTACCCCTAAAGGGGTGAAAAACGGGGGAAGGTTTGTATGGGACAACGTGCTTCCTTGGTCCAATCTGCTTCATATTTTTGCATAAACATTCTTTAACAAAATTGATGGAAGACGTGTTTCGTATTTTATTGAAACTCATCGCCTAACGGGGTTGAAAAGGGGTAGAAAGGTATTTTGGGGGTGATTTGCATCCAAGTTAATATCAATACTCCTTAATGCTTTTGATTTATATTATATTTTATTTAGACACATGTTTGAAAACTCAAAACGTTGAACTCACATAAAAGCTTGTTGTGCAATGCAATACTCATTAAAATTGGAATGTCAAATATAAAGGAATATTTAAATCGGATTAGAATTCGAAATTTCCATTTTAATTGTTCTTGGATTATTTGAAAGAAAAACTTACCTTTATTTCCTTCGAAAATTCCTTGGAAATCTCTTATGGTGGCCACACACGGTCAGTTAAAATGATCAGTTTAACTGACGTACATCCAAAAACTGACCGTGAATGTGAAATCTTAAGTTAAAATATTTAACTGACGGCAACACACGGATTTTCGGGCGTGCTGTCAGTTAAACTGCTCAGTTGAACTGACGTACATCCAAAAACTGATCATGAATGTGAAATCTTAAGTTAAAATTTTTAACTGACGGCAACCCACGTATTTTTCCGGGCGCCCCAGAATCCGCTGGCTTCAGTTCGTTTCCATTATTGGTAAGTACATATTTTCTTAGTAGTTTTTATATATATTTTATAATTTTTTATAACATTATTTGTATGTTGTCTAGATTTTATAATTTTTTTTCTTTAAAAAAATACTAGTAATGCAATTAAATATTACTAATATACCCTTAAACCACTTCCGGTAAGCTTAAAAATGCCTGTGTTGGAAGTGGTTTACGACAGTAGTCAAATGGCGGATTCGAACCCACGACATTTCGAGTTCGCGGTCTGCGCCCTGCCTACTAAGACTACTGAGGCTTTCCTTGACGCAATTATTTTATATATTTAGAGAAGTTGGTATGACAGAGGATGGAGACCAAGGTGATTGTAATGATGTCACCTTCCTTATGGTGGACTCAAAAGGTGGGTAAAGGATCTTACTGATGCTACTACGTAGAACCATCGTTTTTGGACTCATTTTCAAATAGGTAAATGGAGACCTAGATGACTGTGATGATATCACCTTTATGTTGGTGCAATCCGAAGGTGGGTATAGGATCTCAGTGACGACACTGATAGAATGACTACGTTTGAACTCATTTGAATGGGCTCATAAAGACCTGGGTGACTGTCATGACCTCACCTCTTTGATGGCGCAATCCGAAGGTGGGGATAGGATCTCAGTGACGGCACTAGATAGAAGGATCGTGTCGGAACTCATTTGAAAGGGCTCATAAAGACCTAGGTGGCTGTTATGACCTCACGTTTCTGATGGTGCAATCTGAAGGTGGGTATAGGATCTAAGTGGCGGTACTATATAGAACTGTCGTGTTCGAACTAATTAGAAAGAGCCTTATAAAGACCTAGGTGACTGTTATTACCTCAACTTCCTGATGGTGCAATCCGAATGTGGGTATAGGATCTCAGTTATTCCACTACGAAACACCATCGTATTTGGGCTTATTTGAAAGGGCTCAAAAAGTAACTACACAAATAATATAAATATAATAAATAGTACAAACAGTATTATTACTCACTTTATAATGTTTTCAGGCAATTAAAAAAGCAGCAAAACTCCCAAGTAGGTACAAAATAGAAATCGACCATATATTTTACAGGCAATAAAAAACAAGGCAGAACGGAAAAAGCATAACCAACTACAACCAGAAGACGAAAATATCTGCGTACTTCAAGAAAATTTACAAGCACCATTAACACCAATTCCTATAAATGACCAAATTACCTGTACTCAGTATTTGAAATTCAATGATTTTTGACTGATTTATTATACGAATACTAAACATTTAATAAAATAAACTTTTTGGATTTTATTTTCTATTTAACTTATTCTTTTATTTCTTATTTTGTTTAACTTATTTTAATTCGTGACGTTTGGGTGCTTCAACTTTATTTGAGTATGTAACACGTTGAGAGCTCAATTAGATAAACAGAAAGCTAGGCCATCCTAACAATTTCCGTTACTGAAAACCGATAAGCATTATCTGGTCATCATAAGACCTTCAGAGTGTGCCCATGCCCACGGATTTTTTAAATACTTTCCGGTGATATCTTTTGTTTGGATACTCCTGGTACACTTTTCTATTAAATGTACTGCTGGCCAAAATGAGAATCAATCGTGATATAGCCTTAGCGGTCGCATCGTCCGGAATTGCAGCCACTCTGCTGGAAGGAGGTAAACCTGCATACTCTACGTTTAAACTTCGTCTCGATTTGAACAATACGAAATCCCACTCTGCAATATACCCAAACAAAGTAATATGGCGGAAGTACTCCGCAAAACGAAATTAATTGCTTGGGATAAGAGTACTATGGCTCGTTGTAAAGATCTATTAGGTTTCGAAGCCCTAAATAGATCTTTACAAGTTATTAGGAATAATAATTGTCAAATGGGAGGATTACTGTATTGTTAGCGGGTGATTTCCGGCAAACTTTACCAGTAATGCCCAGAGGAACGCGAGCGGAAGAAGTTAAAGCGTGCGTGATGCGATCTTATTTGTGGCCTTCAGTGACAAAACTGAGCCTTACCAAAAATATGAGAGTCTAAATAGCACAAAACTCCAGCTATCCTCTGAGGTAAAATATTTAGGTCTTACCTTGGACAGCAAACTTAACTGGAATAAACACATAGAAAACAAAATCAACAAAGCTAGTATAACTTTCTGGCAATCCAGAAACATGATTGGCAAAAGATGGGGATTGACGCCAAAAATCATACTGTGGCTTTACAAAACTGTAATTCGGCCCATGATCACATACGGCGCTCTGGTATGGTGGACCAAGACAAATGAAGCCACCATAATTAAAAAGCTTCAGCGCTACCAGAGACTGGCATGTATGGCTGCTACAGGCTGCATGAGAACTACGCCAACAGCAGCCTTAGAAGCGATGCTGGAGCTAACTCCGCTTCATCTACATATACAACAAGAAGCGACTTTAGCTGCCATCAGACTCAAGACCCTAAATCTTTGGAGTAAGAATAGTGTCCCTCATACAGGCATAATTGATAGAATTCACTCAAAAATTCCTATCCTACAAGCCAAATACGATAGGATTCCTAAACAATTTGTTTTCGATAAGAAATACAAGATACAGTTAAATGAAAACAGCCAGCCGATAGGATTAAGCCCAAAAGAGCTTAGAATTTTCACCGATGGTTCTAAAACAAATGAAGGTGTAGGTTGTGGAGCTTTCTCTGAAGACCTCAATATTCACATATGCACACCGCTGGGTACCTATAACACGGTCTTTCAGGCGGAATGTATGGGTATCATTCAAGCGGCCATAGCAATAGATGCTAGGAAGGTTAATGACTTCCCCATCAGAATACTGACCGACAGTAGGGCGGTACTCCAAGCCCTGAGATGCAATGTGGTGAACTCGGGACTAATATATGAATGCCATCAACGATTAAATGAGGTATGTAAAAACAACAATGTGATCCTGCAATGGATAAAGGGACACAGTGGATCCAGAGGCAACGATGCAGCAGACGAACTGGCCAGAAGAGGATCGGCTTTGGCCACTATAGGGCCGGAACCAATCATACCAATCCCCTTTGGTAACGTTTGTTCACTGGTACGTATAGTCGTATTTTTAATTAGACGAAGTCAACTGACGTTTACTGTGTTGTCAGTTTTTGATGAAATAAAAATAGTGTTGTGACAAAGTGAATGATTGAAAAACTCCTGAATTAATGAAATTGCCTCGATTGTCTAGTGAATAGTTAGTGTGCTGAACTGCCGATATCGGGTACGGGGTTCGAATTTTAGTCGTGCTTTGTACATACCAACGAGTTTTCGACGACTATGTTCCTATAATATCTACCTATACTGAATACCGAGTGTTTTAAACATTAAGGAAAATATTGCGAGGAAACTTGTAAGACTGTCCTATTTTCAATACATCATGTAGTTGAAACTATAGATGTATAAAATATAACAATTATAGGTAGGTAATGAGAATAAAAAAAATCGCTTATTACATAATTTGTTTTTATTCATTATCAGATAAAAAATCATCACTATCGCTTTCGGTGACATTAATTAAAAATCTGTCAGTAACATTGTCAATCATGTGGTCGAGACCATACATTTTGTCTTCTTTTTTAATTATATGAGACACGCAGCTATTCCATTTTTCAGGTGTGATATGTTGAAGTCCTTCTTCAAAAAGTTTTTTTACTTCTGTCATTTTGAAGGTTTTGTTATTTCTTGCAACATATCCTTTAGCCTGCGCCCATACCAACTCAATGGGATTGAGCTCACAGTGGTATGGGGGCAGACGTAAAACAATTATCCCATGCTGCGCTGCCATCTCGTCCACAACATACTTATCGCAATGTTCTTGCTTGTGCTGCCGTACAATGTCTATAAGAGTAGCTTTAACCATTGTTGCTTCGAATGAAATATTTTTGCTCGTTAGCCACTCTAGTATTCTAGGTTTAGTCCAAGACATTTTAGGCAGCGATTCTAGTTTCCTGGAGTGGTAGGGGGCATTATCCATCACTACTACGGAATTTGGTTTTAGTTTTGGCAAGACCCCCCTAAACCACTTCTCAAAGGAATCGGCATTCATCTCTTGATGATAATCTTCTTTATTTTTTTTGGCTTCAAATATTAATAAGCTGTCTTCTACGAATCCTTCTTCCCCGCCTATATGGCCGATAATTAATCGTTTGCCCTTTCCTGAAGGCTGTTTTAAGCCAGTGGTCAAGCCATCTAGGAAGGCCTGGCGGGACGATAACACTGTCTGGTCAATCCATGCCTTCTTCGGTGCATGACCTTCAAGATAGTGAAAAATATCAATTAATTATTGAAAGTACAATTTAATGTAAAGAAAACAGAAAATTGTAATTACCTTCGTTGATCCAGGTTTCATCTTGGTAATAAATATACCTTCCTTCCCTTCGATACTCTTTAATTTTTCGAAGGTATCGCTGGCGCCATAGAATAATGTCCTGTCTGTCAATTAAAATGCTGTGTCTTGATTTTGTGACATATTTGAAATTTAAATGTTTCATAACATTTCTTAATGTACTCCAAGAAAAATTGGGTAAGTCTGGGTCTTCATTGACAACCTTAAGAATCTGTAAAGTAATAAAAATATGTTTTGAGTAAGGAAGTCTACGCAATCTAATACTTTGGTTTTACAAAGAACATTATGGTGGACACAGAATATAATGCAGTAGAAGGAATAAAGTTTAAGTTACCTTTATAATGGTGGGTGACTCATTTGCATAAAAAAAATTATGTACTTTTCGCCTTATAGCGGCAAAAGTAAAATCGTCTAATTTATCTTTGAAACTGTGTTTCGGTCCACGTTTCTCGGGAGACTTAAATTGTTCATTTTCTTTGCATTCTTTTAACACACTGTAAACTGAGGTCACACCAATTCCCAAAATGTCAGCTGTTTTCGAAACACATTCTTTTTTTTCGGGGGCCTCAATAGGTAATAGTGAAGCAGCTTTTTCCTCAAATACGTGTTTGTAGACGTTTTGTATCATAAGTTTTTCGGTAACGCTTAAAGCAATCCGTGGTCTCTTCTTTCTTGGAGACAAGCTTTGGCTTGACGTGCTTGGTTGAGGATCCATATCATTTGTACGAAACAATATAGCAACAAATAAACACAACAATTACCACAAACACAACGTAACGAAAAACTTAACAAAAACAATAACTAAACAGCGTGAGCGCAGAAAAAACATTCGTGCTATCAGACCAGAGGTTAGAAGCCGAATAACAAACAAAATGGCGACCGACGCGCGCGGCGTTGATCGGTGTTGGCAGTAGTCGCCGCGCCGCGCTTTGTAATAAAACCTCAAAAAACTGATTGTAGTTACATACTACTAGTAACTTATATCAGAGCACTTTTATACAATTTTATTGTAAAATAGAAATAATATTCTTTTATAGTTTGAAATGATTAACTATACACACTCATTGTTCATTCATCTGATTGAACGAGAACTGAACGCATCACTATTACTTTAAATATGGCAACATTATTTTACAAAGTGACATTAGCTACTGTCAGTTGGCTTCATCTAATTAAAAATACGACTATAGACACTTCACTAATCAACACGCTCAGCTTTGGAAAAATCTAGTAGACTGTAGACAAGCTAGGGATGCCCTGCCTGAAATTAACAGTCGCTTAACAAAAGTTTTAATGAGACTGAACAAGCCGCAGATTAGGATAGTAACAAGTGCTATCACAGGACACGGCACCTTTAACAAACATTTATTTACTATAGGTGTTACAGATAGTCCCCTGTGCAGGGCATGTATGGGGGAGGAAGAAACGGCGGCCCACGTGCTACTGAAATGTCCGGAGGTCGCTACATACAGGGCTAAACATCTCGGCACGCCGGGATCACTCTCCGAAGTTGCATGCAACATCAAGGGCCTGTTGAGCTTCTTCGGAGAGATCTCATGGCTCGAATAATCACATTATTCCTGCCCACACGCAAAATACGCGCATAGACGTGGAGTTGCGGAAAACAGCCCGTCGTAAACTAAACTAAACTAAACTAAATATGAGAGTCCATCTTAGGGGAGATGTTACTGTCGGACAGTTCTCAGACCTGTTGCTTAAAATAGGAAATGGTGATTTCCGGAACTGGATAATAATATAATTCTCCCTACAGAGTTAGGTGCAATTGTTTCCACTGTAGAAGAGTTTATAGCTAAAACTTATCCAAACATTAATAATATTCACGATAAACCTGCAGAATAGTTACATATTCGAGCGTGCCACCTTGTTAGGTTAGGTAAAAAATGAACAAGCGTCCGTCATAAATGAAATACTTTTGAGATCATTCGAAGGGGTCTAATATCATTATACTCCGACTCAGTGATAAACACTGATGATACCATTAATTATCCGTTCGAGTTCCTGAATACGGTGAAGCCTCCCGGTTTCCCAACTCACATATTAAAATTGAGAGTTGGCTCGCCAATTACGTTGCTGGGCAATATAAATCCTCCAAAATTACGCAATGGCACCAGGTTGTTCTCGAGGAGAGTCCGTATTTATTCCTAGGATTTCCCTAACACCATCAAATTACCCCTTCGAATTTAAGAGAGTGCAGTTTCCTATCAAAGTCTGCTTCGCCATAACAACAAGCTCAAGGTCAAACTGTTAAGGTAGCGGGAGTAGACTTGAGAGAAAGCTGCTTCTCCCACGGTCAGTTGTATGTGTCATGCTCCAGAGTAAGCGCATAGAGTACCGTGCGCTTACTACGTACGTACGTGCCCGAAGGAAACCAAAAAATATTGTTTACAAAGAAATACTGAGGCAAGTGTAGTATTTCGATTTCGTTGTAAAAAGATAATACTCCCGTGTCACTTTGACCAGATCAAAGTCTTCGTGTTCATAAAATATAACAAAATTTTATTTTATTTTCATGTTTATTTAACATTTAAATCCCTACACTATAATAAAGATTGTTATATTTTATAAACATTCAAACATTTTAACATAATAATTTATATGTTATAACAAAATTAGTAACGTAGAAAACCAGTTAAAAATCCTATTAGAACCATTTTCTTCTACGCGCACGAAGTTGCGGGCAAAAGCTAGTAATAGTATGGTTGTATATTCGCGGTGTTCACTTTAATCAGTTTCTTTTTGGTCCCCACACACGGTCAGTTAAACTGACATCAGTGCAACTGATCATTTCAAACGGATTTAATCCAAAACAATTTCGACACACACGATCAGTTCAACTGATCATTCCAACTGATCAGTTCAAACTAGGACTGTTGATATTTTTAAAATATCGGATTTTCAATATATCGATAATTATAAATATATCAATATCGGAGTTTTATATATCGAAAACATAAGCGATATATCGATGCTTATTGCTTAAAAATGATTTACACAGTTAATAATTTAGTATATTTATTAAACTAATTAAATTATAAATGATGTTAGGTTATAATTCTTAGTAATTATTAATGAGCCGTGGTTGCTCAGATGGTTAGCGCTCGCTGTAAATTTCACAGTACGCGAGCAACCCGGGTTCGGTCCCCGCCGGCACCAATGAAATTGTTAATTGCAATTTTAAGTGCGGATTTACCACGTGCTCGACGATGAAGGAAAACATCGTGAGGAAACCTGCATGTCTGAGAAATAAAATAAAAATTTCAAAAAACGTAAAGTTCGCCAATACGAATTGGGCAGCGCGGCGGACGTTGCCCTAAAACCCTCTCAGAAATTAGGAGAGGCCTGCCCAGCTGAGGAGTGCCCAGCATTGGCACGTATAAGGCTGTAACTTTAACTTTAATTATTGTTTAATTTAAATAAGACAATTATGTTTACCAATATTTTTCAGTAAGAGTTTTCAAAAATACTCGTTGTTTTAATATGTTCAGCTGTTTCGATACTGCGATTATTGGGCACTAAACGATTGATTGTAGAAGTAATTCGTTCAGATGCTACGGATGCAGCTGAAGAAATCAAATATTTAAAATCTATTTCTGTTAACACAGAAGTAAATTATAAGACGCCTAAGTGCTTAAAATAACTTGAGGCTTATACCAACATCAAAACACTTATTTCGTCGTTTTCTCTAATAGTTCACATGCGCAGACACTTAATACACATAATCGCATCACTTTGATAAAAATCCACTTCAAACGATTATTTAAACGATAAAACAGGAGCAACCATCCGTCGATTGTCAAGCTCCTGCCAAAACTCACAGTAAGTAAAGTAGTGATTTTAATATCGCAGAGATATACTATACAAGATTACATTTCTTTTTAAGATAATAAGCAAATTAAATAAACTGGGAAAAAATGAAAAACATAATATGGTTTAAATACAGTGTAGTAGATTGGGTCCATCAAGGATTAGGATTTGAGTTTACGATGGTGTTGTAGATTAAATGATTTACGTGAAAAAATAAAATATTAAATTATTTAAAAAAATATATCGACTGTCGTATATGTATATTTCAATATCAAACTTATATTTCAATATATATCGTCCAAAAATATTAGAAATAAACATCGATATTTCTAAATAATAAAATAGATTTTTCGATATATCGATATTTTATCAACAGCCTTAGTTCAAACGTGGGGCGTGGCCGTGGGCGTTTGGTTTGCGTGACTCCTATAAAATATCATATATATAGATAAATTAAATGACATTTAATAATATCTAAATCTTATTTAACATCATTTCCTGTCTATTAATATATATCTATACAAATAAATAAAATTGAAGTGTCTGTTTGTAATGTCAAAATAACAGTTTTTTTACTAAATACATATAAAAGAACATACGGTACTTATAACTAAAAACACAATTTTTAAAATTTTTGTCTGTCTTCCTGTCTGTCTGTCTGTTTGCTACGGCTAATCTCAGAATCGGCTGAATCAATTTTGGCGAGACTTTCAGTGGCAGGTAGCTGATATTTATAAGGAAGAACTTAGGCTACTTTTAATTTAGATAAAGAATTAGGGTTCCGCGCAAAAATATTAAAACTCACGAAATCCAATCGTAATAAATTACACGCGAGCGAAGTTGCGGGGAACAGCTAGTTAATAGATAGGAAATGATATTTTTATTTTATAGGAGTAACGCCAACTAAACGCGCACGGCAGCGGCCCCGTCGATCGAGAAATGAAATCCGTTCCGTATATATATAAATATCGTTTCCTATATATTAACACTTCAAAAGATATTTTTATTCATGATGAGGTCACTTTTAAGAAATGGGTCAGATATTATGATAATTTTATTCATTATGGTAAAATTTATTTATTTAATAAATGTATTATTTATTTTTATCTTTTACCCCACCTTCTTAGTTCACCATCATGAAGGTATTATAATCACATTGAACTAGGTCTTTATAAACCCTTTCAAATAAGTTCAAACACGATCGTTTTATCTAGTGCCGCCACTGAGATCTTATACCCACCTTCGGATTGCACCATCAGAAAGGTGAGGTCATAACAGTCACCTAGGTCTTTATGAGCCCTTTCAAATGAGTTCAAACACGATCGTTTTATCTAGTGCCGCCACTGAGATCCTATACCCACCTTCGGATTGCACCATCAGAAAGGTGAGGTCATAACAGTCACCTAGGTCTTTATGAGCCCTTTCAAATGAGTTCAAACACGACCGTTCTATCTAGTACCGCCACTGAGATCCTATACCGACCTTCGGATTGCACCATCAGAAAGGTGAGGTCATAACAGTCACCTAGGTCTTTATGAGCCCTTTCAAATGAGTTCAAACACGATCGTTCTATCTAGTGCCGCCACTGAGATCCTATACCCACCTTCAGATTGCACCATCAGAAAGGTGAAATCATGACAGTCACCTAAGTCTTTATGAGCCCTTTCCCATGAGTTCAAACACGACCGTTCTATCTAGTGTCATCACTGAGATCCTATACTCACCTTCGGATTGCACCAACATAAAGGTGATATCATAACAGTCATCTAGGTCTCCATTTACCTATTTGAAAATGAGTTCAAACACAATGGTTCTACGTAGTAGTATCACTGAGACCCTTTACCTACCTTCTGAGTCCACCATAAGGAAGGTGACATGTGACATCATTACAAACACCTTGGTCTCCATCCTCTGTCAAACCAACTTCTCTAAATATATAAAATAATATAAAATCTAAACAGCATACAAATAATGTTATAAAAAAAATATAAAATATAAATAAAAGCTACTAAGAAAGTATGCACTTACCAATAACGGAAACGAACTGAAGCCAGCGGATTACGGTGCGCCCGGAAAAATACGTGGGTTGCCGTCAGTTAAAAATTTTAACTTAAGATTTCACATTCATGATCAATTTTTGGATGTACGTCAGTTCAACTGAGCGGTGAGTGGCCACCATTTTTTAGTCATCAGTCGATCCTACGTCTTGCTCGGTTCGAGTTGTTGTTGTCGTTTAGTCACTTTATTGAAGTATTTGCGTTACTCTTTACCGAGACGGAGTATTTTCTACTGTGCGTGCGGTGTTCAAATAAATAATTTGTTGTAAGGAATTAGAACCAAAAGGTATGTTTTTAAAAACCTAAAAATTTGTTAAGTTTAATCGTTGCATAAACCAAAGACTTCCCATACTAAAAGCCTTATAGTTTACATCGATTAAAAACGGTTAATTTTTCCATATTTCCATCTTTTAAATGCAATTTCTATCCATTTTAAAATAGTACATGTGTTTAATACTAGTAAAATGTAGATTAATGAAAGAATTTTCTTTCACTTCCCCATGGCTGTATTATTTGTAATGTAAATTAATTTTTCTGGCAAAATACGGAAAATTTATGTTTCGTAAAAATCATATTTAGATAGGTACCTACTTTAATAATAATAATAATTTATTTCAGATAACCAAGTGATCCATAAAATTTGTTAGTAAATATGAAACTTATAACCTATGTTAGTACCTAAATCTA